GAGCACGCTGAACTCGATGCATCAAATAAACCTGTTTCTCTCACCTTCGTGGTATCAAGTCCTGGTCTTTCGTAAGTAGATTACAAACCTCAATCTGCTGCAACATAACAATGTGAATATAATGGTGATATGAACAATTAATATTATTACAAGTGTTAGGACTACTGTTATTATATTATTACAGAGGTTAAAACCGATAGGAAGGCAATGGAGAATGGAGAACTAGAAGGCTAAATGTGAATGCCAATACAGAAGTCTGTATAATTACTTTATATTGTTAGGTATGTCTTGTTTTTTCTTTTCTTTTTTTGTCGTGTTTTTCTTTCTGTTTTTAAAGGTAAAAATGTTTAATAAAAACTATTTTTTTTAAAAAAAGAAGTTGTTTTTCTTTTTTCTAAACTAGTATTGAATAAAAATTAACAAAAGTTACTAATCACTATCAAACTTAAAGTATTGACTAACGATGTAAATATAAGGGCGATATGAACAATTAATATTATTACAAAGGACTACGGTTATTACATTATTAGAGAAGGTAAAATCGAGAGGAAGGGAAGGTAGAATGGAGAAGTACAAAGGCTAAACATGAATACAGAAGGCTGTATAATTAATTTATATAGTTAGGTATGTCTTGTTTTTTCTTTTCGTTTTTGTTGTGCTTTTCTTCCTGTTTTCAAAGGTTAAAAACGTTTAATAAAAACATTTTTTTTAAAAAAAAAGAGAGAAAGAAAGCAAAGGACGGGAGAATTTGGCGGGAGGAGAGACTCACCTGATGTTCCTTCTGCTTAGCTGCCTCCAACTCGGAAAGGGAATGGGTCAGTTTTTCCTGCTGCTCGGAGAGATATTTCTGGTAGAGGCTGAGCAGTTCTTGGCACTCGCGGTATTGGTGCTGCAGGGGTGAGATAACGAGTTAAGGAAAAAAGAACATTTCCAGCGGAGGAAAAAGGCAGGGAAGGCGATGCAGGAGACCCCCTGCTGCTCATTCAGGGCAAATCGGGCAATTTTGGGGACATCTGGAGAAGAAGGGATGGAGAAATGCAACATAAAAGGCTGACCCACATGGAAGGGAGAACATTCTTGGCTTAGAACAGGGACGTCCAAACTGGGGAACTTTAAGACTTGTGGACTTCAACTGTCAGAATTCCCCAGCCAGCCATGCTGGCTGGGGAATTCTGGGAGTTGAAGTCCACAAGTCTTAAAGTTCCCCAGTTTGGACAGCCCTGGCTTAGAAGAAGCAAAGGTTTGACCAACACAAGTCCGACATCGCCCAGAGCCCTCCGGGATTGGGCGGCCTATAAATTTAATAAACAAAATGAAATGAAATGACATTCGTGGTTCAGGCTCAGATATACACAGTCAACCCCACTCCCTTCTAACACTGAGGATGTTACCTAGTTGGGTCGTGAAACGCCTGCAAGAAAACAACCAAGCTCAGAGAGCATCAAGGAGCCCACAGCTCTATCTTGAGCTGCAAATATTTCCTTCTATCCAATCTACTTGTATATGAACAAGAGAGCAAATCCCATTTCTTTTCATGGCTGATGATGTAACCTAGTTGGGTCACGAAACGCCTGCAAGAAAATAACCAAGCTCAGAGAGCATCAAGGATACCACAGCCACACCACCATCACTAGGTGAGTCCTAGTTCTAGCCACATGAAAAGCAGAGGCGGGAGAAAATTACTGACTCAGAAGAAGCAAAGGTTTGACCAACACAAGGCCAGCATTTGTAGCAGGGGTGGGTTTCAACCAGTTCGCGGCGGTCCCCGCGAACCGGTTGGTCGGCGAACCCGGAAGTAAGTAACTTCCGGGAACGGCGAAGGGCCCCCCCCGCCTGCCCACGCTCCTTACTGGTCTTTGAAGGCTTCTGCGCTTCCACGCAGGCGCATGGCACATACAGCTCCTGCGTGAGTCTCCGTGAGCAGCTGGAGCATCGTGCAGGCACTAAGAC